GTTTGTAGTGCAAACAGTTTTACCGTTTACTGCACGTTGTTATTCGCCTCGCTTTTTACCTATAGCGGCTAATGAACCGGATGGTCTCACCCATAGGCTTACTTCCGCGTTAAAAGAAAAAGGTGGATAGAGAAAATTAATCACATTTTCACTTCTGGAACCCTGAACTGACAATATTTCAACACTGTGATCGTTCATGTGCTCATCTTGTAAATATGATCTTTCCAACTTGATTTGAGGGCAACAACAGAAGAGAGAAAACATGCAGGCTTCCTAAATGATATTCCAACTTTATGCAAATAACTGGCTCATTAACATCTTCACTCATTTACATTGCTCTCCAGCCACCAATGCCACAACTACACACAGCCTAACCTCAGTTCTCTCTCCAGTCCCCAGTGAACTCCCTTCCCACCCTCCTGTTTTGCCCCTCCCTCACCCGGTAGGGGCTCCTCGCTCAGCGCCGCTGTGTCCACCGTGGATGGGGGCGGGGGTATGTGCTCAGGGGGCGGGTCCTGAGCGGCATCGGTGAGCTCCGGGAGAAGATCTGATTGGAGGGTCGCGTCAGTTTGGGACTGTGAAGGCGGAGTCTGTCGTGAAAGGGGCAAAATCACAGATTTTAAACATTCTTTTGCCTTAACTTATGAATGAAAGTACACCGGTGCCATTATGGACAAATGCTAGCGATTATGACATGAATTTAAATCAAATAACAAAAGAGCTATCCGCATTAGTACGCATAAGCATGTTCTTACCTGAAAGAGGAAATTGCTCCAAGCTGCATCCATCACGAAGTGTAGAACAGTAGAGACGCCGTTTGAAATAAACTATTCGAAAGAACGTCTCCTTCCACTATTCGAGCAAGTTTAGTATTTATTAAACTGTAAATCAAACAAATATAAAAGGACATGTTAGTGAAATTGAAGAAGTGAAAGAATGCATATTACACTGATAAATATACATTTACCTTATTTCTAAAGAGTACAAAATAAGAAATGAGAGTTGTCAGTCACAGTATGCTATTAACGCCGCATTGTCACATAACAGTGGCCTATCATGCTTAAAAATATAATCTAAAATGAATTTCTGCATGTAATGTTTTCTTATTAATTAGACCGCTGTGTGATAATTCATGCAGAAATAACCCAATTAAAATGGCAGTTTAATGTTTCATTTGCTCTCAGCGTCGCACAGCGTGGTTAAAAATAAAAATGCCATCAATTTTATTGTAAGATTCTTCATCCAGGCCCCGAGCGGCATCTGAGCGAGCCTCGGCGTTGCGTTAAATCTCATTCGTGTCTGGCGAGCGCTCCGCCGGTCGTCGTCCACGGCTCCCCCACGGAGGATGACATGTTTTCCTTTTTTTCCTGCAATACTCTCACCCTCCCACCCTCGCTCTTTCTTCCTTTTCTTTTTTTATCCCGTCTTCTCTGCCCCGCTATCTCTCCCCCACCGCCGTGTCCCCCTTGTTTTAAAGGGATAGTATATTTTGAGTGAACACCCCCTCTGTGTCTTCGTCCCCTCCTCCACGCGATGTTCTCGAGCGCGGTGTCGTCCTCTCGCGCCCCTCCGGCGCTCGAGTTCGGCCGACGCAAATTACAGCATAAACGTCGAGATCAGTTAAAAGAAACCATCCGCGCGTTCTTCTCTAAAATCCAGCTCTACAGCAGAGATTCTCGGCGGTAGACAACTGGATGTTCGTATGGGGGAAAAAATGTCGCAGGTCCTTAAAGGTAAAGACGCACGCAGACGCAGCTGCGGTAAACAATAAGCGGCTCCAGATCACTGCCGATAATAATTGTACACGCGCCCACATTAAACACACATATATCAGACTCACGCCCAACTAACAATTTTATGAGCTCCCAGACAGCACGTTCCTTTTTGATCCTCGCAAACCGTTCCCAGAACAGAACACTCATGCCTTTTTAAAGGAAAAAGAACGTTTGTTTTAGGTTGTGCGTGATGAACAGAACGTTGCTTTAACGTTCACTTAACTTCTCTACATTACACCAGCAGCATAAGACCGTCTTTCCATTAATTCTTTAATTAGACATTCAAATTAACCAAAACATTATCATACATAATATGAGCATTAAATTAAATGTTCTTGAATATATATATATAAATTGCTTCCCAAAGGGAGAACGTTTTGTGTTTGCTGGGCTGATGGTAATATATCATCAGTAACAGCTGCAGGGCTGTTAAAATGTGATCAATAAACAGCTGCATCTTGTTGTCAGGATATCTTTATTGTCAAATCATCAGTTACAGTACAAAATGACTTTTCTCCAATCATATAACTCTCATATATTTCAGATCATTTATAACAACAGCTGTAAAACTTTAGACGGCAAACAGTAGGTCTACCCCTCTACCACAACCCAGTAATACATTCAGGAGGCTATGGACGAAAATGATGCCTGAGCCACTTGCTTAATATAATAATGGCTTCACACGCTTTAAACTAATATTCAAACAGATAAACATTCTTTGATATACCTGCAACAAAAACAACAGTGAGTGTAATAAAACCAGCTATAGACAGGCTCATACAGACAGTTCAAAATAATTAAATACCACAACTAATGATAAAACAATGGCCAAATACAGTAATACTCAAGTGGCTTTCAGCTGAAGCGTGGAATGTGCCTGTCTGTGTGTGTGTGTGCGCGCATGTGTGGAAATGTTGGTTTTAAATAGCAGAGCTATTCTAAATTCCATTTAAATGATACATGATTATTCCATTAATGAATAAATTAACCCTCAAACATAAAAATGAATATGATGACACCCCAAAGATGACATAAACATGGTACACTCATAGTGCAACTACTAGTTCCATCAACAGCAATGAAAAGCACAACTACAGGAATATGGGTAAAACTCGTAAGGAATTTGCCCTGGCATTATAGCATTGATTATCTATATTCAAATAAATATAAATGCTCACTGAGGCTTTGTCTGGTCCCATAACTGATTTCCATTATCTCATCCTCATTTATACTGGCCAGCGATCTCATCACTCTTTTTTTCTGCTCATCTCTTTTGCACAGCCTTTGTCTCATTTTTCTTGGTTTCTGCATACTCTCATGTCTCATTGTGCTTTGCTCCGCTCTCCCTCACGGTCAGCCACATCGATAGCAGCCATGTTACGGGAGGCGGTGATGAGGTGGAGGAGACTAATGCCAGACTTCAGCACACAGACCACGCTGCAAACTCCCAGCAGCCATTGTAGCCACACTGGGTAGAAAAAAATGCAACCAATATTTAAATAAAATATCATTTGTATTATAGAATTGCTATAGTGCATTCTTATGATTTCAGTACTACTTCAATGAATAAATCTGGCAAATGGAAAGATATATATATATATATATATATATATAAATAAATAATGATCCTATTTGCTCCAAAAGCCTCAGCCGTTGTTTTAGAAACACTCATGCAGCAGTTGCCGAGGTAATATAACACAAAATATAGTGTTATAAATATAAAATCACAGTCACAGTAGGTCCATTATAAAGACAGTGAGAAAACAGCATGCTGACACTCACCCTGGGGTTCCTCGATGTAGTAAATTACATACAGCAGACAGAAGAACAGCTCGTTCCCCATACACATGAAAAACAGCACCGGCTGTGGAAAAACACCGATGTCAGAACAGCCAGTACATGTAAAACTTTTTCACTAGATTTAAGAACAACTCAATAAGCTTTTGATGGGAGTTCCTGACTGTGTGAAGGAATGTGCATGAGTGAGTGTGTTACCCTGGATGTGTAGTACAGCCGTAAGATGGGGTTGCCAGAGAGGTCAATGGTCTTGTGACTGGTGGCTCCCTTCATCATGGAACTGAAAGAAATTGGAAAAAAAAGGAACAACTCATATTATTAACAATGATTTATGTAGAACATGCAGGGAACACAGATACTTAAATTAAATACAATAAAATTGGATTCTAGGGGCCTGTGGAGATCCATGAACGTACTCCAGGGTGTCCGTGGAGAAGATAGAATTGATTAACATTTATAAAAAATTTTTATGAACAAACGTATATTCTGACATGTGTTAGATAAGTGTTAGTTACTGATTTTAATAAAGTGTTACAAGGAAAATCTAGCTAGCTGTGAGATTGTGGGTTAAAAATAAATAAAAAGTGTTTTTTAAAGCCGCGATGAAACGGAAATAGCAACAAATTATTTCTTCCGTACTGTGAAATTTATTATCGAAAAAGAACAAAATATAGGACAGGGACTTGGTTCTATCAACTGACAATTGGATGGAGACCGATCTGAATACAAGCTCGCAGATGACTGCAATAAAGGAGCAATAAAACAGCAATTGTTTGTCGATATATAGTAGATGTATATTAGAAATGCGGGAGCATTTAACTTTGCAATTTCACTGGAATGAAAAGCAGACTACAAATTAGCAATTAGACAAGTGGGGCGTGCGTCTGAGAGCTATGTGCAGGGGTGGCAGTAGTGTCCCATGTTACACGAGAACTGAGCCAGTCAAGGCAAAATGACTATGTAGCCTATGCCAGGATCTGCCTCTGATGGATGATGCTTTTCAATTTGGGGTGTGATAATCTGTAAACATTAAGAGAGATTTCTAGAGACCCAAATGCCCCCAAGTATGGTCTTAAATCAACTATGACTTTATGCATGCATATGTCAGATGTCTCTTACAGAGTGCTGCAGGGATGACATATTTATATAGGCCAACCTGGAAGCTCCGGTTCGCTCCACCACTGTCTTTCGGATTATTGCAGAAAACCAACAAAAGTTTATGATCCTTACATGTTTTGTTCATCATGATCACCGACAACCTCTCTAGTCCCATTTAGCCACTTGTGAGCACTTGCTACCTTTTTCAAGACACGTAAATGCTTTAAATAATGTAACTGATGTATTTTATGTCATAGAATAAAACGTAAAAATATCTTGAGCTTGTGTTAACCACAGACCTACGCTGCTTCTGAAATTGCATATTTCCCTGCTATATAGTAGGCTAAAAAAGGAAGGGAACAGAATAATGTCAAAATTCACAGTATTCATAAAAAAGGAGGCAAAAAGTGACCTGTGACGGAAACTTTACTATCCCACTTGTGATGGCAATGAACTGACGCAAATTAAGCTAGTAGGTCATATGACAATGACAACATGATAAATGTAGTACATCCAGATTACATTCATACTATATAGAACATGCTTTTTAAAGGGGTCATATGATGTTGCTAAAAAGAACATTATTTGGTGTAATGCAATGTGTTTATGTGGTTTAAGGTTAAAAAAAACATTATTTTCCACATACTGTACATTATTGTTTCTCCTCTATGCCCCGTCTTTCTGAAACACGTAGATTTTTACAAAGCTCATCGGTCTGAAAAGCGAAGTGGGCTCTGATTGGCCAGCTATCCAGTGCGTTGTGATTGGCCGAATACCTCAAGCGTGTGACGGAAATGTTATGCCCCTTTCCATACTGTGATGACGTGTCAGGCCGGAGTGACGAGACAAAAACATTTGTTGCATCCAGTGGGGACATAATTATGGATTATAATGACTTATACTGTCTTTTAACGCATTGCGTTGCATCGCACCGCGTAAACATAAAAACCATGTCTGCATTTGTGATCGGAGAAATTACAAACAACAAGCGCTACTCTACACTGCTCAAAACTCGCGTTTGAATCATCAGTGGCAAATTCTTTAAATATAAAAAACAGCCGGCATTGAGAGTCTACTCTACCAGGATCAGAAAACAGTCCTCCATAAAATGTGCTGCACACATCTGAATATTTGATTTGAACTGTTCTGGAACAGTGTTGTAAATACAACTTAACCACTGATTTCTAGTGAAACTACTAACAAAGTAGTTTCGCTTTCACAACGAAACAGCGCCACACACGCCTTGAGTGAGCGGAGGCCGGAGGCCTAACGTGAGCGGCAACCTAGAGTGAGCGGAGGCCGGCTTGAGGGAGCAGAGGCGGGTGGGCTTGAGAACGGCACGGCTGGCGGATTCGACGAAGGAGCATCCGGCGGGCTTGCGGCAACCACATGTGACGACCCCGGGCTGGACTCCGCTTCGTCCACGGTGAAAGCCGATCCGGTGATCCACAGAGCAAAGATGAAGTATTTCCTCCGCGACCAGCACGGATCAGCTCCAGGCATGACGGAGCGGATATCGTCCTCTTTTGGAAGACCAAACAAAGTAGTTTTGCTTTCACAACGAAACACAGCGCCTTCACGACATGGCGCAACAACAATACTACAGCGAGAATAAAAGTTACGCCTTCTTTCTTTGCGTGAACATTTGGGCGGCGTTATGCTAATCTTCCCACATCGTGACGTAGACGTGTGGGGGCGTGTTAGAACGAGCCGTTTTAGGTAGGCGGGGCTGACTCTTAACTTTTATAAAGAATATCTCTTTGGATTTGAGACTTTAGTCTTTGCAATTTTACAGATCTTCTTTATGCACTAAGAGCTTGTAACACTTCAAAGAGAAAGGAAAAAATTTAAAATCGCATCATATGACTCCTTTAATGCAGCCCTTATTTCAAGCATTTAACCAAAAACTCATTCACACTGAAACCACAATGACTTGGGGATGATGGGTTTTAGGACTCAATCCTTAGCATTCTATTGGATGACTGATGTTTGGACACACCTGTGCAGGTGCAGCCAGTGGCTGGCCATGTCCAGACACATGCTGAGCTGAAACAAGAACGTGTAGGACGGGTACAGCAGTGCCAGGTTCACCAACAAACACATGGTGGCACAACGGTCTGTCAACATGTCCAGCATGGCACCAAACTTTGTACCTAAGGAAGAGGCAAGGATGAGTACAGAGAGAGAGAAAAGCACAGAAAGAGGAATAATGTACAACGCAAA